TTCTAGGATGGGACCCAGTAGTGCTCATGTTGAACCCCAACAGCAAAGACAGCATGGGGCACCCGGTGGCTCTCCGTGCGCATGCTGAGTGAAGGGACACAGGCTGGCCAGACAATCGACAAATGCTGTGGTGTCAGCATAGCCCTAAAGGGAGGACGCAGTGCAGGAGCAGGAAAGAGAGGTCTAGGAGGTAAACCTGCATGTAGACCTCGCCTTACCACACGGAGCAACAGTTTGCAATATCAAGCAGTTACCTGACTTTTCTGGGCCCTGTGGGCCCCCTTCATTACAGGGTTGTCATGAGGATTAAAAATAAAGTACAGTTTGCCCTCTGTATTCACAGGTTTGCATCCCCAGTTTAACTAACCATGGACGGGAGATACTATTTTAAGAAATTGCATCTGCGATTCGCCTTGTCGTTACCTCTTAGAAGAAGCTGCAAAGATCTGACTTTTAAATGCCTAGCATTCCAAGGCAGGGATGCCACTGTAATTTACTCAACCTTTGCCTGTTGCAGGGCACTTGGTTTGCTTCTGCTTGTTTTTCTCCCTGCTGTTTCTGCTGTGGCCATCTCTACCTGTCTCCGTATTTTCTCTTGCTTTTATTTCTATGCATAGGGTCTTAATAGTGAAGTCAGGCCTTTTCAAATTTCAATAGAGATATTTTCCAGGCTTTTCTAGAAGGGTGTAATACTTCCCATTTCCACCAGCAGTGTCTGAGGCTGTCCCCCAACCCCTCCCAGCCCGCGGCCCCCTCTCGAAGACCTGCCAGTGTCAGGAATCTTGAAGTTGTGCTGTCCGGTGGATGTCAAGCGCTTCCTCACTGTTACTGGCATTTGCATGTCCTTGACGGTTACAGAGGTTGGACGCCTTCTCCTGTACCGCTGGTTCTTTAGACTTGCCGTGCTGTGTACCACTTCCTGTTCATCCCCCACCCCCTTTTCTCTTGCTTGGCGTTTTTCTGATCAGTATGGAAGCGCTCGTGGCTGTCATACGAACTGCACGTTTTCCCGGGCTACTTACTGTTTACCAATTGACCTTATATTTATGGCATCTTTTACATTACCAAATTAAAATTTGTTTTATAGGGCCGGGGATTTAGCTCAGTGGTTCCGGCGCCTGCCTCGCAAGCTCAAGGTCCCGAGTTCGATCCCCCGTACCAAAAAACAAAATTTTGTTTTATAAGATCAGAAACATGTCTTTTCTTTTATGGCTTCTGGGTTTCCAGACTGAGTTAAAATGTCTCCCCTACTTCTTAGTTGTATATGCTGCTTCCTGGATCACTATTCTAGTATTTTTATTGTTTTATATTTTATATTTAAATGAATTCTAGATGGAGTACAGGTTGTGGTGTATGCTGTAAGGTAGGAAGCCAATTTAATTTTCTTCCTGATGAATATCCAGTTGAGCCAACATCATCTATTGCATAAATAATTTTCAGCCGTTGAGTTGAAACAGCACTTTGGTTGGATTTAATTGAAATCTGTACCAAGCACTCTCTTGGGCTCCACTCATCTCTTCGTCCATTTATATGCTGACATCATGTACTTTTAAGTACAGTAATTTCAGGTAGCACATTTTAATATTTATTAAGGAGGGTTATAACATTTGCCCATCTTAAGTGTAAAATTCAGGGATGATTAGATATTTAGGGAGTTATGTAACCATCATGGAATCTAATTTTAGAAAATTTCCATCACTTCAGAAAGAAACCTGGAACCCATTTGCTGTCATCTCCCATTGCCTCCCTCTCCCCTCGGAAGCCACTAACCATAATACAGCAAAATAGTGAAAATGCTCTGTGTATGGAGGTGTCTCGTCTGGACATTCCTAGTGTTTTATTCCTTATGCTCAAGTATTTTACAGAGTTCTTAACTATTGTGAATACATTTTTCCTATATCTTGCTAGCTGATGGCTAGTATAAAAAACTTCCTTTATTATGTTTATCTTATAATCCATTTCTTACCAATTTTAAGGTTTTTCTAACTATACAATCTTAACATGATTTGTCTCTTTTTTTGTGTGTATTTATCATGAGAATTTAGCTTTCTTACTGCATTTTCTAGTAAACTGTAGACATTGTTTAATAATGGCCTGGGGCATCATCCTTGCTTTATTCCTTATTACAATAACTATGACCTTAGTATTTTTTCCATTAGAATGGTGTTTCTTTTTGTTTTGTTACTTTGATTGTGAACTTGACCTTGTTATACTTGAGCAATTTTTGTCAGTTCTATTGTTAGATTTTTTTATCGGGAATGTCATTTCATCAAATGTCTTTTCAGCATTTTTTGGAGGAGTTGTTTAGCTTTTCTCTTGTTGATTTGTTAATGTAAAGAATTATGTCCCTAAATTCCACGAATTGTCCTTGTTTCATGGAATAAGCCCAAGCAAGTCAGTATGTATAGTCCTTTTGATACACTGCTACATCCTGCTTGCTACAACCATACTTTTGTGTGTGTATGTTGTACCGGGGAAGGAACTCAGGACCTTGCCTTGCCACTGAGCTACATCTCTGGCCCTTTATACTTTACTTCTTTTGTATCTGAGGTCATGAGATTTGTCCAAGGTTTTGCTGTTCCTATCCTGTCATTATTAGGCTTTGATGTTAAGGTTCTGATGCTGTATCAAGTGGGTCAAGGAGCTTGCCATCAAAATGTTATTTATTGGCAACTCTTATTAACAGGTTAAAGCAGGGAGAGTGAACAACAAGGCTGAGAAGGAGTTATCTTTTCATTCATATTTGTTTTTTGAGCCTAAGATTTAATAGTTAATACATTTTTTAATCTTTGGCTGGAGCTGCACTGCATGATGTCTTAACCACACTGCCTTAACTAGCCACATGCAGTTATTTAGGTTTTCTTAAAGTTAATTAATAAAATTTAAAACACAGTTCCTCAGCCATCCTAGCTATGTTTCAAGGGCTCAGTAGCCACACTTGGCTCATGACTGCTGCCTCTGACAGCAAAGGCAGAGGAGGTGGGGAACCCGGGCCAGGGGAGGTCTTGTGTGGCCTGGTGAGCTAAGAATGGTTTTTACAGTTTTAATGAATTACTTAAAAAGAACATGTGACCTGGGTGTGGTGGTGCACACTTGTAATCTGAGCGCTCAGTAGGCTGAGGCAGGAGGATTGCTGCAAGTTCAAGGCCAGCTTAGGCGACATCATGAGTTCAAGACCAGCCTGAACTCCATAGCCAAAAAGTGTACAGAGGAAAAAGACCTGTGATAGCACCCAGATGTGGGCAAAAATCACCTTTAGACTTTTTACGTAAATTTTTAAAAAAATTTATCAACGTGATAAATGGAAATATTTGCCATAAATGGATCATTGGAAAAATAAATACACTGAAAGCCAGTTCATGTTATTAAGTTTCAGTGACAAACCACACCTTGCTCTTCCCTCTGGTAAAGAAGGAGATCAGCAAGCACTGATTAGGAGGCGCACGCCCACCAGCTGAACCATCTTCCTTGATGGCATCAGAAGAACAGAAAGACAGCTGAAAGAACTGCCTTCTCACTCACGATTCAGCATCATTTAAGACCCCATACATGTACCTCCCCAAGCCAGCAGCACTCGTGGTTCTCAGTTTGGGAACCTGGGCTGTGGGACGAGGGGCATGGGCTTCCTGAGCCTGGCTTTAGGCAATGGCTAAGGTTGGGGTGGCCGACACAGAGGAGGCCACTACCGTTACAGGACCAGGACCATGACCAGGCTCTTGAAGTACGAGACATGTTTGCAGTTAGAGCACCTGCTGTGCATGTGAGTTGGGCTGTGCCACTTTGACACCCCAGGGAAATGGCATCACCAAGTTAAAATGCAATGATGTTTCCTTGGCTTTTATTGATCTTCGTTAAAAGACCTATAATTAAAATTTGGGCAAATATTTCGATATCTTCTATGAAACTGCAGTCATATATGTGTTTATTTTTCTTAAAAAGAAATTAATAAAATTCCTTCTAGAATTTCTGTCTACATACAGCAGACTTGCTTTCTCTAAAATATTACTGACTGGAACCTCTTTTGGACATGCCAGGCAGGTGAATGAGAGCCTCTTTTTTAGCTGTCTTTCCCTGAACTTCTTTTCGTATGCTTATCTGCCATTTGAATCCTCTTTGTGAAGTGTCTCTAAATCTTTTGCTCATTTTCATTGCATTGTCTGTCTTAATGAGTTGAAAGAATTCTCTTTAGATTTTGCTCATAAGCCCTTTATCAGATATATGATTTGTGAATGTGTCATCCCAGTCTGTGTCTTTTTTCAAAAGAACATCTACTGAAGAGCAAAAGTTTACTGAATAAAGTTCCACTTATCAATTTTATCTTTTAGGGTTCATGCTTTTTGTTATTGTTGTTGTTGCTCTAACCCAAGTTCCTAAAGACTGCATGTTTTCTTCTGAAACTTTACAATGTAGCATCTATGATTAGGTCTGTGGTCCACTTTGAGTTCATTTTTTTCCTACATGGACATCCATTTGTTCTAGTACCATTTGATGAAAAAACTAATCATTCCTCTACTGAATTACCTTGGCACTTTTATCAAAAATCAATTGGTTGGGCTGCGGATTTAGCTCAGTGGCCCTGAGCCTGTCTCGCAAGCACAAAGTCCTGAGTTCGATCCCCCATACCAAAAAAAACCAAAAAACATCAATTGGTCATATATATGGAGGTCTATTTCTAGACTCAATTTTTTTTTTTTTTTTTTTCGGTACAGTGGATCGAACTCCGCCTCTTGTGCTTTTGAGGCAGGCGGTGGATCCACTGAGCTAAATCCCCAGCCCTCTGGACTCTATTCTTTAGCATCCATATATTTGTCTATTCTTACCCCAATACCACATTGTCTTGGTTCTGTGTTGAAATCGGGTAGTGTATCTTCCAACTTTGTTCTTTTTCAAACTTGAGTTACCTGTTCTATGTCCTGGGTGTTTTATATAAATTTGGAATCAGCTTATCAATATCTACAAATTGCTTATTAGGACTTTGATTCAGGTTGTGCTGAATCTGTGGATAAAATTGGGGAGAATTGACACCTTAATCTTAAGTCTTCTAATCCATGAACACACTGTATTTCATTTATTTAGTCCTCAGATATCTCTTAACAACATTGTGAAGTTTTAGTTGTGCGGATTTTCCATAATTTGCTAAATCTATTCTGGTTTGAGTTTTTTTATGCTATCTAAATGAGATGAATATATTTTTAATGTTGAAAGCTGCCTTATTCTCCAGTTTCTCAGAAAAGCAGTGGATCACTTGATTACCTGCAACAGAATAAGGCCGATTAGGAAGGCTAGGCCTGCAGTGGGGGGGTGATACAGGGCCACTTGGTCACAGACTCCGAGCAGCTTCGTGGCACCAGACAGATCACCTGTGATGGCCAGATCAGCCACTGGGTAACCCAGGCAGGTGTATGGCATGAAAATGGGTGGGGAGGGCACCGTGGCAGGAGTACAGGCAGATGAGGTGGGCAGCTGGTGTCAGGAATGCGTGCCAACAGGTGGAGGTCCTCAGTCTGCAGGAGGAGATGGAAGCGGTAGAAGGGTGCTCCACCCTGTGGGCATGGAGACCTTAGGCTCTTTACAAACAGGGCAGGGGCACAGGGCCCTAGAGTTGACCCTCAGCAACAATAGAGCTGGAGCAGACAGTCAGGACTTGTCCAGTGCCAGCTGGCCCAATCTGGAGTCTCAGCTTGGTAGGTGCTTTGAGGACTGTTCTTGGCTGGGACCACAGATCACCTGGAAGTAGGAAGGAGGCTGGAAGGACCTAACCCTGGCTCGCTCTTCTGGGAGGTCGAAGGGGGATACATTGAAAGCGCTTATAAAAAGAATCAGGGTATCTGTCCTCAGTTCCAGTTCCACCTCTCTTCCACAAGAAGCAGGTAATTCAGAGGAAGTACTGGCATCAGGATGGTTGCCAGACAGCCTGACCTCTTCCTCCCATCTACTTGCTTCAGAGATGGAGCCATATTCCCCTCTCTCCTTGGGAGGCGTTCACCAGGTGCTCCACAGCCCACCAGGCTGGTACCCCTTAGTAAAGTGAAGGAAGATATCTGCACAAAGAAAACCCTTGGAACCCCAAACAATCTATTGCTTAATCTCCTAACCTAAAACTCCATTCAAGGACGCAGCAGCCAGTGGGCTGGATCATAGAGGCTGTTCTGCAGGTATCTGAGAAGGTGCTGCGGTGTCCAGGGCCACTGTACACAAAAGCCAGGCAGGGTGAGATGGGGGTGTCCTTCACTGAGACGGGGCCACTGAACAGGAGCCAACCAGGTGGGGACAAAAGGTGATGAGCTTTGTTTTAGATGTGGGGCAGCAAGACAGCAAACTAGAGATCCAGTAAACCATTCAATGTTAAATAAATGCACCAAAGATGTGAGTTTGTCCTGAAGCCGCCTGCCCTGGCACAAACCTCATGAGCATGTCTTCGAGCTGCTGCCCCCTTGCCAGGGCTACTGCCCCCTTGCCAGGGCTACTGCTGTTTCCACAGCTACTTTAGTATAAAAATGCTTTAAAAACCAAATAGTGCAGTGAGTCTTAATCTCACTGCAATTTCTCTGTTCTGGAACAGCACAGCTAATAGTTTGGTGAATAACTTTCCCAGAGCTTTATGCAAAAAGTTTATTTGTGCTGGGCACAGTGGTGCATCCCTATAATCCCAGCATTCTGGGAGGCAGAGGCATAAAGAAGAAACACAAGGGGCCGGGGATTTAGCTCAGTGGTTTCGCCACCTGCTGTGCAAGCAAGCACAAGAACCCGAGTTCGATCCCTGGTACCAAAAACAAAACAAAATAGCATCATCCCCAAGTTCGATCCCTGGTACCAAAAAAAAAAAAAAAAAAGCATCATAATACAATTATTCCCTAAGAAGAAAGTCTTAGACATGAAATGCACATTGTAAATTTTCATATAGATGTTCGGATTTCCTTTTGAAAAGATGGTACCAATTTAAACTCTTCCTAATCGTGTGCTTTTCCTAGTTGTTCAGAGCATTGGTCTTCTTCTTCTATCCCACTATTCTAAGTGGGAAATGTCATCTTTTTTTGATTTGCATTTCTTTATTAGGGAAGGTGCAATCTTCTTTTACTCAGCCCATTATCTGTGTCCGTCTCCCATCCCTCCTTCCCCAGTTGGTTACCTATTCAAATCCTTTCCCATTTTTCTCTTTTTGTAGTATCGTGGATGGAACCCTGAGCTTCATGCACTCTAGGCAAGTGCTGTACTACTGAGCTACCCCTAGCCCTGCCTACTTTTTCTATTGGAATATTTACCTTTCTCTTATATATTACGGATATTAATCCTTGGTTGTATTTCACAAACATGTCATAACCAGTTTTTGTCTTTATTAAAAGTAATTTGTGGTATCTTTTCTATTTCACAGTTTTCACTGTTGTATAGTCTTATCTAAATGAATCTTGTTTTTTATGGTTTCTGGCTTTAGGTCATGCCAAGAAAAGCTGAACACAACCAAAGTGTATAAACATTGCCTTCTGTGTTTCCCTCCGATACTGTACCCTATTGCTTTTTAATGTCAAATGGGAATTTGATGGTGTCCCTCCTTTGTTTGAGATGCCCCTCCTCACCCACACTGAGTGGATCCTCCCAAGCCTCGGAGGATCTGGGCTCTGCCCTCACAGAACCCCACCCTGCCCTCCCTTGTCCCTTACAGTTTCTGGGTGCAGTGCCTTGCTTGACTTCTCCTCTCCCCTGGTGAACCTCAAGCAGCTACCAAGCCTCACCGCAGAGGAGTTTCTGAGAAGCCGTCCTCTACCACAGTCAGTGTGACACTTCCCCACCTTTCCTGCCACTGAGACAAAATACCCAACAGTTCAGTCCATGGTTGGCTGGCTCCATGGCAGAAGTGGAATGGAAGGAAGGACATGGCATGGAAAAGCTGCTCCCCCAAGGTAACCAGGAATCAAAAGTGAGGGGAGGAGCCAAGAACAGCAGTATACCTTCCTCCAGGTCACACCCCAAGTGGCCACCCCTCCACCCAGGCCCCACCTCCTAACAGCACCAGACCACCGAGCTCATCAGTGGATGGATCCACGGATGAATGGAGCGCCCCCGTGATCCAGGCTCTCTGAGACACAGGAAGCTCTGGGGACATTTTGGATCTAAAACGTACCACTGACCCTGCTCTCCCACCTCCTGGTCTCACACTGAAATGCCTGATGATGCCTTTCTTGCTGAATTCCTCTTGGATTTCTGAATTCCTTTTGAGTTGGCTCAGTGTCTGGCACTTAATTCAGTGCCATAGAGTAGGTGCTAAGCCTGCCTCGGTGCCCTGACTTGCATTGTAGCAAGCTCAGTGTGTCAGCAGTGTGGAGGTTTTAAGACCAAGACCAATTTGCACACCCTTATAATGATGCTGGGGGTACCTGGAAAGGCCATCAGGTCCTGGACAGAGGCCATTTGCTCAGAGGAAAGAGGACAGATGAGGAGCAAGTTTAGTAGGTAGAACCAACAATGCTTGAGTACAGTTATCTCCTGAACCTTCAGGACACATGAAAATCAGGGAGTTAGCCCATTAGCACAGTCTAGACCCTTACTGTGAGAGAGAGAGTGTGTGTGTGTGTGTGTGTGTGTGTGTGTGTGTGTGTGTGTGTGTGTAGAATTACCCTATTCTTGTTGCCTTCCACAAAGCTGTGTGACCTTACCTAGTCATTACCTCCTTGTCCTTGTCATACCTGTCAAGTGGAGTTGGCACACCCACCTTCAGCGGTCAGGTGGTTTCCATAAAGCACCATGAGTTAGGAGCCCTCTAGCCCCTGGCACACATAGTCCTTGGGGTGGGTTCTCTGGTTTCCTCTATTGCTTTGCCTTGGTTGATTGGGTTAGTGGCCACCTTCTGACTGATCTAAAGGATTCCTAGAGAGAGAAGGTAAAATCAGCTTTCTTTACTGGGCTTCCACAAGCCAGGCATGGTCTGGCCACTCTGATTGTCATCTGCAGTCTGCTCTCCTTCCCCCCAGGGACCTTCCAGCATTTAGTCCTTTCTCAGCTCTGCTTCTTCCTTTGCTGTTCCGTGTGTACCACCTAACTAACCCAGTACATTGTAGTGCCTGGTTACTGCAGCCACTACCCTCCTGCCTGCAGACAGTCCGGGCCAGGTACAGAAGCAGGAGACCAGCCCGCACATCATGTTTTTGTCTGGGATCACATTTGTGTCCCTGCTGCAGCTGCTCAGGGCATCCTGAGCCATGTGTCCCTCAGGACCTCCACAAGTCCCACCCCCGGCGACAGGGCAGTGAGCCCAACTGCCATCCTAGCCTTCACTTGTCACTTCTGCAAGAGGAGCAGAGAAAGCCAGCTGTGTCCCCTGCCCTAGTCTTCAACCAGACACCCGCTGCCAGCACAGCGTGCTCTTGGGAGCAGCCTTCCTGCTCTTTGCTGCCAGCCTGTGTGTGCAGCCATGCCCTCTCACACAGGGCGCTTTCACACCAGCTCACTGCTCCCCAGCCACCGCAGCACCTGCCTTCTCTCAACAAACATTTAATGAGTCCCTCCCTAGGCCAAGCCCTGAGAAGCATGAAGCATGGCAGAGGCTTTCTTTCAAGGAGCTCTGATCCGGTAGAAATTCCAACCAAGTTTCCTCTGCCAGAAGGAGGAGACCATCGTGCTCACCTCCGAGGCCTGCTGTACGTTTCCCAGGGAACTGTGTGAAGAGTCGGGGTGGTGATGTGGTGCTGCAGTCACAGGTGCAGGTGCTCAGACTAGAGGCAGCGCTGTCCAGTCCAGGGGAAGCTGGTCATTTTGGCTGAGACCTACAGCATACTGAGTCCCTCTTTGGCCCATCGTCCTGGTGGGCCCAGTGCTCCCCACATGTGCCTCCGTGTCTCACCCATGCATCTCTTCCATGTGAGAGTCTCGTGGGGGAGACTGGCTCACAGTCCACCTACCTGGTTACCCATCCCATCAGGGATGGGTTCTATTAGCTGCTCTGATGGGGTTTGGTGCTCGAGTTCAGGAACTCTGGGTTGGGGTAGACATCTGTTTGGCTCAGCAATGAAGGTGACCAGGGCTTGTGAGAAGGCAGCTAGGAGAGGCAGGCACCGGAAGAGGCACAAGCTTGATTGGGCGAAGCATTCTTGGCTTATAGTCAGTGGCAGGTAGAAAGCAGCTTCAACTGGGGGAGATGAGGAAACATTTTAACCATAAGATAAAGTACCTGGTACATCTTTGAAGGAGTCCTACATCTCAGGAAAAGGGGGGTGGTGGGCACCCTTCTGAAATCTTTAATTTCAGTTGTTTAATAATTCCCTTTAAAATAGGAAAGGAGGCCTGGAGATTTAGCTCAGTGGTTCCAGTGCCTGCCATGAAAGCGGAAGGTCCCGAGTTCCATCCCCGGTACCAAAAAAAATACAAATAAAATAAAATAGGAAAGGAGTTTCCTGGTTTGTTCTAAAGCCCAGCCCTTTCTGGAAATCTTCCAGAAAGTGGTATAGAGAGGGCAAGACTTCCTTGGAAGAAGAGGGAAATTTCTCCACTTTATTGCCATTTTCCCCCAAAGTACAAAGTATTTGCATGGCTGTATAGTTAAATATCTATTTTTAATTATCAATGCAATGTGACATTATGTAGAGAGTTTGGAAAATTTGAGAGAGAAAAAAAATCTATCATCCCATGACACAAACTCTTGTTTATTCTTCTGGTGTGTGTGTGTGTGTGTGTGTGCGTGTGCGTGTGTGTGTGTGTGTGTGTATTTTGATTATGATAGTACTTGACATATACTTGTGTACTGGCGTGCCAGCTTTCTAAGTTTTTAAGAAATGTTAAATGTTTGATGAATTACCTACAGAAGAGTGCAGAAAATATATGCACAGTTTAAAGACTAATTCAAAGCTCATGGCGCAAGACAGGGCACTTGGGGCCCTAGAGGACCCTCAGCATCCAGCCTACTCTGCTCATTGGGTCCCTGGTGTTTCTTCATGCTTCACCAGTACCTGCAGAATCTAATTTCCTTTAGCTTGCTTTTGGTAATTACATGAATGGGAGTCGTACTCTACTATTTTGTCTGCTCCTTTCCCTCTGTTATTGTTTGTGAGATGTTACACATGGGTGTGGTTTATTGATACTAATACTTAGTTTAAAAGAGAAGAAACAAGTTTCATACTCATGCTCACTTTTGTCTCACATATAGATTTTCTCAGGTAGCCCACATTTGCTGTCCTTTTGCATTAGGAAAAGGTGTTCTTTTTCCTCCTGATTGTGGCTCCCTACCCCACCTGCCGAGAATGCAGGCCTCAGACTGCGAAGAATCTTTTGCCCCCTCCTGGCAGTGGGGCGCTGGCCCTCTCTGCCCTTTGGCTGTCGTCCTGGAAGCAGCCATTCTGGGCTGCTGGAGACAGAGCTGTAGCTGCCACCCTTCCAAGGACCTGATGGAATTCCTTCTGGGGCCTCGGGACAGCTGGCGAGAGCCTGGAAAGCTTAGCAGGACTGAGGAATCTGCTGAGGGAGGAAGGTGACATGGGATGTTGGGGATTCTCCTGGTCCCCAGCACCCAGTGTCCCCTGGTGGAAGCCTCAGAAGTCAGGAACCCTTGCCTCCAGTGCATGTGCTCTTTTGTCTACTTTCTTCAGGACCCAGAGGATCTGCATCTGAGAAAGTGGGATTAATTCATATGCACATTTCCTGTACTCAGCCTGACACCTCCAGACAGGGGCCTCCTGACCTTGATGAGAAAGCCACCACTAAGCCGGGTTTCTGCCCAAATGCCCAAGGCCGGCTGATACCCAGGGCAGCAAACACACAACTGAACCTGTCTTGTCTCTGCTCACAGCTGCATCCACACTCAGCCTGTTTCTCTTCTGCTAATCTTGTTGAACAAGTGCTCTGTGGCCCCATTTCTTTCCACCCTCTCCCAGCTAATCCTTGGGAATTTAGCTCTTGTCGCCTGGACACTCACTGTGCCTGCTCATTAAGCCTGGTCGCCGAGTGGGACCAAACCAATCCGGATGAACCTGTGAGATTAAAACCTCTTACTTGATTTTAGGACTCACCTCTTGGACTTACGTTCACCTTCCAGAAGCTATTTGTTTCACTCAACTCCTGCCTAGCCTGGGCCCAAGTGAGGCAGCTTCTCTCAGGCTTGGCTTGTGGCAGCTCCTTTGTCCCAAGTTTATTGTGAGCTTTCTCTGGTTTAGCCTTGTTCAGCATATTCACAGCTGTGGCATGGACCAACTGGAGTCAAGTTTCCCTTTTCCTTCACTTCAAGAGGCTGTTCTTGTGCTGGCTCCAACCTGGAGTCTGGCCCTCTGCTGGCCAACTCAGTCCTCTCCTACCTTCTCTCCAGGTGAATGAAAGAAGCCCTGATGGGACAGTAGAGGCCTCCTTCAGGTTGGTATAGAAATATGTTTATGACTCTAAAGGATTCGTGATGGATGTATCATTGCCCACAGCCTGTCTGTGTACCCTCTGTGTCCATGTGCTATATCTGTCCATCTGGTCCTTCTTCCTGTCCAGATTCCCCATTAGAGCATGGGAGGTACCATGCTTTAGCTTCAGATGAAAGATGGCAGAACTTCCCTTTTACCTTCCCCAATTCTTCTCCCAGGGTTTGGTTCTGACTTCCAGAATCCCTCAGAACGTTTTGCACAAAACTCCCACGTAAGACTTATCACCCAGACTGGGCCTCGGGTGTTGACACTGGCCAGGATGGACTCTAGGAAGAGTCCTAGGTTTCTGGGGGCAGTGACTGGGGAGTGAAGTTGGTTTGGATAGGTTGAGTTCCTGCTGCCTTAAAACATCCCAGAGGAATGATCCAGTGGACACTTGGATAATGCTGAAGCACCCCACTCCTTCATTAACATAGAGTAGGCTTTCAGATTCCTGCTTTCTCTTGAAAACAGAGGACCACAGGTAGCGAAGAACTCAGTCATAGGGCCGAGGAAGTTTATTGTGGGACACTGGGAGAGGAGGTCATGGGGTGGAAACAGCAGTAATCTACTTCATTTTTATTGGTCACTTTTTTTTGGTGCTGAGGATCAACCCAGTGGTGCTGTACTACCAAGCTGCATCCCCAGCTCTATCTATCCATCATCTATCCATCCATCCATCTACCTATCTATCATCTATCTATCTTTTTTTGGGGGGGGGGTACCAGGGATCGAACTTGGATCTTTGTGCTTGCGAGGCAGGCGGCGGAACCACTGAACTAAATCCCCGGCCCCTCTATCTATCTATCTTTGAGACAGGCCCTTGCTAAGTTGCCCAGGAGAGCCTTAAACTTGTAATCCTCCTGCTTAGCCTCCGTAGTAGCTGGGATTACAGGCGTGTGCCACTATGCCCAGCTCTACATAATTGTTATTGGTCATTAGATTGTATGAACACACTGGGGAAGTGGTTACTTCTGAGGAGGAGGATGTATGATCAGATAAATATGGGGTGGGGACTGGAGTGAAGATAACAGTGCCAGTCCACAGGTCTTTGTGTCTTTATCCTGCATGACTTACATGTGTGTCATAAATTTTGTTTATTTATTTATTTAGGTGCTAGGAATCAAGTCCAGGGCCTCACACATGCTTAAAAACACACTCTACCCCCAGCACCATAAAATTTTTTTTTTTCGGTACTGGGGATCGAACTCGGGACCTTGCGCTTTCGAGGCAGGCGCCGGAACCACTGAGCTAAATCCCCGGCCCATAAATATTATTTTAAATTTACCCAATAGTTGATTAAAACTATTAAGAATTAATTACAAAATTACACCATGCTTTAATATTGGTTGAGTAAAATTTGGTGCTTGCTAAATTTCAAAAGCAATATACTTTTTTAAAAAATGAAATTTATCAACTTAAACCCTGAGCATTTTCCACTTGCCTCAAACTTCCCTTCTGGCCTTTGTGATGTGTTGAGCCTTTGATTTGCTCTCATGTTTCAGCTCAAAGGGAATCCCTTTCCTGTTTGACCCCAGGATGCTGTAAGTGCCAGCAACCCCATCCCCACCCCCACCAATCCCATGAAGGGTGACTGTCCTGGCCCGCACTTGGCCAGTGCTCCTGAGGTCCTGGTTCAATCCCAATACTGCAGTGATGCCCGGGAACCTCCCCTGGAGAAGGCTGTAAATGCTATCACACTGTTTCTTTTCTGCCAATCAGAAGAAAACTAGCTACAAATTTTCATTTTCCTTCCTAGCTCCCCATTGCTGTTTGATCCTTTAGCAGGTGTTACGTGCTTAGAGCCAGGGAAAAGCCGCCGCAGCCAGCCAGCTTGTTGTCATTTGTGACCTTCGTGCTGGCTCACTTGTCCCTCCAGTTGCCTTCGAGATTGCCAGTAGGCTTGGCTTAAATGCCGTGAGTCCTTCACGTCACAAGGCAGTTGTCACGCTCTCCTGTTGCATGTTCTCTGACATCACAGTGGCAAACTATATGTAAAGTCACACATTCTCTGTGCATTCCATCAAAAGTGGAAATAGGATCAAACTGTGCCTGTTTAATTGAAAAAAAAGGAAAGTGCACATCTTATACCAACACCTGTCAAGTGTGTCTTAGGGTCTTTATGCAAGGAGGATCCCCTTTGCACCTTTCTCACCCCACAAGTCTGTGGCCTCCAGCTGAGCCGCTGGCAGGGGCAGCCCTGGGGGACAGATCGTGTAGGCGCCCTTGTCTCGCACCTCCCTGCAGCCCCGAGGAGCTGGGGAAGGTGATGACAGAAGCAGCCAGTTCCAGAATGCAGTGTTGGGCTTGGCATTTCCTTGGCATAGCTAATACTGAGTGCCTTCTAGGGTGTGGGGTGTGTGCCTTTCATGGGCGAGCAGCAGTAGCCACTGTGACCTTGCCTGTCACTCAGTAAGCTGCTTCCTGTGCGGTTCTGCATTGGAATAGCTCAAGAGCAGTGGGGGGGGGGGGGCGTACCCTATTATGCAGCACGACTGTTCCTGGATAGCAACAATGCTTACTATTTTAAACAGGAAGAGGCTCTCATCAAATCCTCTCTCCTGGCTATGGTATTGTTCCCCACGCAGAAGCCCCTGCTCCCAGCTTCACGTATCGCCTTAGTTCTAACCCAGAACTGCTTAAGGAACATAAGGACTCTACGCCACAGAACTGGGGAGTCGAGGGACACTAGCAGTGTACACTTGGGTAAACCTTGCCACAGCAGAGACATTCACCATCTTTCTGTAGAAGCATCCTTGCTTCCTTCCCTGAATAAATTAATTGTAAAATTCTCCTGACCTCCATATGTGCAGTGTAACAGCACCCTGTGAGTCCCAGACTGGTTCCCTTCTGTTCAGGGTCACCTTTGATAAAGTCCAGGAACTGGAGGGAAAGTTAGGGCAAACTGGATGGATCTGTGCAGCTCTATAATGTCTGATTTATTCTAATAGCTTTAATGATCTGACATTTTTATCACTTCTGCCTGAGAGGACAGACATGTGTTCTGAATTCTTTTATTTGCATAGACAAAATAGCTGGGTGATCAAAGTTTTTTGTTAAACATATGGGCATGTGTGATATAGCCAGAAGTCTTTAAAGGAGGTGACATTTATTTTAAGGCCCAGTTGTTCCTCAATGCTAATTTGATTATAACCATTTCTGTCTAATGTAATATCTCTGTCCCTTCAGACTGCTATAACAAAAAGTAGCGTTGACCTGGGGACTTAAACAACAGAAATTTATCCCTCACTGCTCTTAAAGCAGGGAGGTGTAAGATCAAGGTGCCCACTGATTTGGTCTCTGATGAGAGCCTTTTCCCTGGCTTTCAAACAGACGCCTTCTCGCTATACCTCCCATGGCAGAGAAAAAGAGAACAAAATCTCCCCCATTCACGAGGGCTTCACCCTCGCAACTTAATCACTCCCAAAGGCCCCACCTCCAACTACAATGGGGATTAGGGTTTCCATGTGTGGTACGGGTGAGGCAGGGGCACAAACATACAGATCATAGCGTGCAGTGAGCCCATGGGCTGCATACTGCCTCTGTCTACACAATTACTGTGTTTTGGAATAAACTGGGTGACTTGAAGCAACATTAACTGCTAAGACTAATACTGACCTTCTGCAGAGCTTCTGTTTCCTTCTGACCAGTGTCTCCTGGATACCCTGCCTGCACCAGACCAGAGGGACGACACAGCCAGGGACATTTACAGTGTTCAAGAGCCCATGCTACAATTGTCCTCAAATCTTCCTTGGGGAACCCTCTGCCAGGTCCAGGGTATCTCTGCACCCACCCCCGACTGCACTTAGTTCGCCCGCCCGTACACTCGCAGGCAGCAGGCAGGCTGCAGGGAGAGATGCCAGGAACATGCTTCCTTTGTTTAATCTAGCAAAGACTAGCAGGGAAAGCTGTAGGGAGGAGTACTAAGGAGGCTACTGGGGAGGTGAGAAGCAAAATGATTGTCAATAGGCACAGCCCCGGGGGCGGGGGGGAGGGGATGGGAGGGGGTAGGCAGGTGGTGACTTAGAAACGTGGAAATGTGCGAGAGGGCACTGACATCACAGGCTTTTCTCAGGTCACTGAACAGCTGGACCTAACTGATCTCTGGCACACAGGGAAAGACACCCAGTTTAAACCAGTACCTGTCAAATTAGTGTTTAGGTTGTAGGCAAGACGGGTCTGCTGTAGCCTTCATTTCCTTAGTGACACAGCTACCTGCATCTCTCCACACTAGCGAGCAGGGCCTGTGTCTTTTTTGAGTTGTCCCCAAGGAAAAGGAATGAAGTTAGACGGTTATGTTCATTTTAAAGAGATCTTCTCCAGATGCACAGGGCAGGGAACGTGTGGAACAGCTGTGCTACGGTATTACCCAGGCCTCCCAGCCCAGGCCTGGAGCACTCCAAGGCCTTGGTCACCTGGAAGGCTGAAGCTCCACAGGCGGTTCTGGTGGCAGCAGGTCATGCAGCACCACCAGCACTGGGTCCACTCAGGGCTCACAACTGCGCCATGATTTATACTGAAGTGGCTCTCCTGGACAGCTGCTGATCTAGGCGCTCAGTCGACCCGCTTCCATGTTGTCAGCATGGCTCAAGGCTGAAGTGATGTAGGTGCTCATGTTCATCCGCTAGAGCTGCCGAAACAAAATGCCACAAACTGTGTCTCAAACAACAGAAGTATTTTTCCTCACAGTTCTGAAGAAGGCCGGAAGTCGAAGAGTCAGTTTCTGGGAGGTCCCCCTCCCGGCTTATAGATGGCGTCTTCTCCATGTGGCACTCGTTCATGTCATGGAGAGAAAGAAAGAGAAAGCTCTGGTGTCTTCTCTTGCAAAGGCACTAATCCCATCAGATCAGGGCCCCACCCTTATGACCTCATTTAACCTTAAAAACATTTTTCCTGAAAGGCTGCCTCTCCAAAGACAGGCGGCCCTGCTGGGAGTTAGGGTTTCAGCACGGCGGATGTTCGGATGTTCGGGTGGGGAGATGCAAACAGTCTATAACCACGCCTCAGACAAACTGTTTGACTTTCAGTCTCTACTCTCACAAACTGAGTCTGTGACCTTGAGGAAGTTTCCTTAGCTTTAAAGTTTCCTCAGCTTGCTCTCTGTGAAAACAGGGGTAGTCATGGTACCTGCCTAGGGCATTGGAAGGATGAAACGAGGTAACGCATAGGCCGGGCTTAGTGATGGGTCCTGTGTGTAGTAACCTGGGTTTCCAGGACTGGCCCAAGCCCGTGGGAATGGGATCCCAAACTAGGGAGCTCCCAGGACTCTGCTGTTCTTCACGGAGCCGAGCCTCTGCAGGGCCAGGTTAGCTTCCCAGAGCCTGAGCAGGAAGGTAGGAGAAGACAGGCTGCTCGGGGCGACAGCCCAAGGCTCCAGAGAGGTGCTCTGGAGTCAGTGCTCCGCCTCCGTGCAGAAAGGAACCGGGCAGCAGTGGGACCTGAGTGAAGGTCACATTGGACTCTTTCTGGCTTCTTCTTGGCTAAAAGAAAATAAGTTAAAAAGCTTTTTTTTTGGTATCGGGGATTGAACTCAGGTCCTTGCGCATGCACAGCAGGCGGCGAAACCCCTGAGCTAAATCCCCAGCCCAAGTTAAAAAGCTTTTAAGCAGGGGCTGGGGATTTAGTTCAGTGGTTTTGGCACCTGCTTTGCAAGTGCAAGGACCTGAGTTCAATCCCCGGTACCAAAAAAAGAAAAGTGGGTGTTTGTGGTTAAAAAGCTTTTAAGCAGAGATGTTGAGATTATAAAACACAAGTTTCTTGTATAAAATTTTGAAAATAGAGGAGAAGGGGGTGAAGAAAGAATGAAGATGTGTTGTGTACATGTATCAACTCCCCGTGAGGAATATAATCATTATGTACAGCAAGTGTACTAATAAAAAATAAAAATTGAAAAGATAAAAAATACAAGAACCTATGAAGAGCATAACAATCACCGTGCCTCTACTGTCCAGAGTTCACTCCGATAACCTTTCCTTTCCACTGGTAGGTCTGGGTCTGAAGCCTGGCCTCCTCCTCCTCCGGTTGCCTGACACTTAATGGGCTGCCTGTTACCTGTCATCTTCAAAACGTCTGCTTGGTCCTCTTCAGATGGAACTAACTCCTACTTTGCAGTCTTGCTGTGGAGATGCAGTAAAGCGCCGGGCATGTGGTGTTAACTCACCGAGGGCCACTGCCCTTGGTTCTTGGTGCTAGCAGTAATGCTCAGGCAGGGATCCCCTGCCAACCATTACTACTCCCCCCTTGCAAGTCCCAACCTGTAGGCGTGTGCTGTGAGCTTGACGCAAACCAGTGTTGTCCTATACGTTGAGAGGTTGCCTGTTGTAGAGTCCCAGCATCAGTCTGCCTGTTTTTCTCTTGCCTGAGCTGCTTTAAAAGGTGAAGATTACGTGTTTGTGCAGAGGATTAGGCGTGTGTCTTCTTTCAGCACCCTGCCTCCTCCGTCACTCCCACAGAGTTTGGGACCTCTCCTTTCATAATCCCACTGGGCTTGGCTTGGAAAGGGGGGAGACAGAGACAAAGACCAGAGTAGCTGCATCTAAGAACTGAGAACTGCACCCATTTCCAGATTATGGCTTAGGAAATGAAGACTAGTTTTCAGTTTGTGGGACATAAGATCCCCTGAAACATGCACCTTCAGCGGGCTTGTGGCCATCCCCCTCTTCCCCAGCCTTTCCAGCTCAGCTCCTCCCACAGTCTCTCTGCCCTGTGCCTTCCACACCAGGGACCAAGTCTTTTCTCCCCAGAGGTCCGCATGACACCTTGCAGGCAGCAGATGTTCACAGAGCACAGCTGTCACTCCCAGCCACCTGTCTCATTTCCCAGCATTCTCCGGCCAGGAGCACCTGGCAGTTAAGGCTCAGAGGGCACTGACAGCTTTCTGAGTGCTGAGATTCCTTGCACTTCAACCCAGCCAACTTGGCAAAAACTAAGCCAACTGCTTAAACCACCTGTCTAAGCTCTCCAGATAGCTCACATATCTCCTTTCCCGAGGTTCCTTCCACAGATCCTGGGGCCTTTGCATCCTGGGGCACAGCCTTTCCAGTTAAATGATGAAGATGAGAGAAAATGTGTCACTTCCTTTGCTCTGTGACAGTAATTTGCTCTACTAGCAAAGATGAGCATTGCCCTGGATATAGAGTTGCCAAATATGCCAGAAAACAAATAGGGAATTCGTCTACTACTCAGTACTTTAAACTATGTTGGTTGTGTCAGTGCAACAAGTAGATGAGGCTACCCATTTGTTATGCTCCAGTTTTGAGGGTCCTCTACTGGATGCTGGGGATGAGGGTAGGGATGGAGACAAGTGACTGATGCGATTCTGCTTTGAGGTAGGGACAATCCAGTAGGAAGGACCTGATCCTATAAAGACTCAGAGAATCAGGGAAACGACTGAGGGGCTAAGAGTGCAGTTCTGTGGCGATGCACTTGCTTAGAATGTTTCTGTGAGCTCCAGCTTTCCCTTACTGCCACCACATCATGATTCTCATAAGTCCCCCTATGAGGTCAGTGGTTGTAGGACCAGCTCACTCTGACCCCAGAGCTTGGCTCTAATGGCGTGGGCCATGGTGACTGTTGAACTTTTTGACCTCGACCTTGACGGTTCCCTTCTCCCTTCCATAGGAATATGCTTGCCAACTCAGCCAGCGTGCGGATTCTTATCAAGGGAGGCAAGGTGGTGAACGATGACTGTACCCACGAGGCTGATGTCTACATCGAGAATGGCATCATCCAGCAGGTGGGCCGAGAGCTCATGATCCCTGGAGGGGCCAAGGTGATCGATGCCACTGGGAAGCTGGTGATCCCTGGAGGCATTGACACCAGCACCCACTTCCACCAGACCTTCATGAATGCCACGTGCGTGGACGACTTCTACAATGGGACCAAGGTAATGCTCCTGATGCCCAAGATGGCTTCTCTGCTTCTTTATTCAGTTTCAGGGGCTGCCGCAGATGAGGCACACACACGCACCTGTGAAGGGGTGTGCCCACTGCATTGCTAGCACAGGACAGGTGGGGCCACCGTGGCAGCCAGATAGGGGTTCCAGCTAATGTCAGAGGCAGCGTTAAAGGAGGCATTTAACCCTGCTTTGCTGGTCATGTGACTTCCCAGGGACATAGGCCAGGAACTGATTTTATATTTGTGTGTCGTGTGATACAGACCTAGAAGAAGAGGACTCGCTGGTGTTTGTTGTTGTGAAGGAAGGAGGGGTTTGATGGATTTGTTTATTCACATACGATAAACTAAATTAAATCCCTGAAGTCTGTGACCGATTACAGTCACCTTTCTAGCTGGTTTTATTTTTGGGGGTTTTTTTGTTTGTTTGTTTGTTTAGTACCAGGGATCGAACTCAGGACCTTGCACTTGCAAGGCAGGCGCCAGAACCACTGAGCTAAATCCCCAGCCTCTAGCTGGTTTTAATGGCAGAGATTGCAAAAGAGACATAAAGCTATCTTTTGTTTCTTCTAGCTTATTCATTATTTTTTTAAAATACCTTGAAAAGTACTTGTGAGTTCTCTTTTCAGAGTGAGTTATTATGGATAATATTTAACATTTACTGAGCTGGCCCTGACTACTGCATTTTCCTGAATGCAAAATATAAAAATTCAGACCTATAAGACGTGAATCAGGAGGGAACTGAATTTTGCAAAAAGAGCCCGAACTGGATTCTCTCACTGTTCCTCTGTGCTGCAGAGCCTCCATCATTGCTGTCATTTCCCTGCATTGTAATGCTCTGTTCCGTGCCAGCCTTTCCATGTACCGTGGGCCCATGGCAGGCAAGGCCAGGCCTATTCCTCTGCTTTCCCAGAGCCGCACTGACCTGGAGCTAGAGCAGCTGCCCTGTAAATATCTGCTGAATGAATGAGTGACTATTGCTTATCCCTGGGGGTCTCCACATCCACTGGACATCAGATTCACCTGTGAAGGTGTTTTAAACTACAGAATCAAGTCAGAATCTCAAGGGGCACAAGTCCCCTACCCTGGCAGCAGCCCCTTGTACTGCCTGATTTACCAAGAATTTGACCTCAGTTGCTTCCTAGATGACAGAGATCCACCAGCTCCTGGCCCCTGGCTACAATCCTATGTCCTACTTAGGCCCACAGCCTCAAATCTCCATGTCTCTGTACCCTCAAATCCCACCTCCACGCTGTCTGGAGTTTGAAGGGGACCCTCTCCCACTCAGGGCTCTCCCTTTGGGATTTATTTCCTGGGGGCTCAGGTGTTCCTGCTGCTAGGAGGAACTCCTGCTCCCTGAGGAGCCTGGCTGGGGCCGACGGGGCAGGAGGGGCAGGCTCCTGTGGGCCCACTTATGCCAGGCACGTGGACTGAAGGTCTCCTTGAAGTGACATTTTCCCTCTCCGTTCCAGGGGATGCACAGTTGACCTTAGAAGGCTGGCAGTGAGATTTTAAATAGCCACGGCCCAGCCTGAGCTGAGGCAAAGATGCAGGCCTAATGCTCTGGCCTCTGGGCCACACCTGTCCCCTCACCAGGACCAGGGAAGAGAGGCAGCAGGCAGCTGCTCCTGCCTCCTGAGAACTCCCCGGGCCTGAAGGTGACTCTCCCCTAGTGAAGCATAAAACCCTCATAAACTTGGGTCCTCTTATGGGATGCTCTAGTGGCAGTTGGGGCCTTTCTGAAGGCCACCGTCCCAACCCTGAGCCAGGCCAGGCCTGCTTTGTTTGTGGTAATTGCCGTTGCCATTTCTGTCGATAGTGTGCACAGATACCGTGATCCCTCGGTTGTTAATTAGTTCCAGGATGTGTGACAAATGCCAAAAAGTAATGAGTATCACACAAATTGTCCTGACTGGAAAGGGCAGCAAGTCATGAAGCAGTCGAGACTGACAGGATATAGCTTGCTGATTGAATACCAAACAAACAAGTGCCACGACTCAGTTTTCAAGTCAGAATGTGTCCAGTGGCAAAGCAGTCGGGTTCCAGCAGTGAGCATAGAGTTATTACAGCTAAACTCACCCCACCACCAGCTCCCTGTGGGTAAACCAACTGTCACCAGCACCCAGAAGCCCCACCTCACCAAAGGTAAAGGTAACCACTATCATGACTTTTTGCTTGTTTGTTTGTTTTATGGCTGTTTTGGGATTGAACCCAGGGCCTTTGCACTGAGCTACATCCTCAATCCTTTATTTTGAGATAGGATCTCACTAAGTTTCCCAGCCTGGACTTGAACATGGGATCTTCCTGCCTCAGTCTCCCAGAGTACTGGGATATCAGGCATGTAGCACCATGCCTGGCTCTACCCTAACTTCTATACTGTAGACTTTTTTGTTGGTTGGGTTTTGTTTTTTGTTTTTTGAGACAGGGTCTCACTCTGTAGCCTACGCAGGTCTCGAACTCATGGTGATCCTCCTGCCTCAGCCTCCTGAGTGCTGGGATTATAGGCATACATCACCATGCCCGGCCTATACTATAGATTTTCAAAAATCACCCCTGGAGATGTAATTTAAATACCATGTAGTTCATCTATTTAAAGTGTAAGAGTTAAGGTGGAGGGTGGTAGCTCAGTGGTTCTCTTGCCTAGCATGCACAAGACCCTAGGTTCCATTCCCACTATCATAAAAAATTTTTTAAAAATAAAGTGTAAGAGTCGATGGTTTTTAGTATGTTCATTATAGACTGGCTTTATTGTTTTATACTAATTAATTTAAGCAACATGTACTCTTGCAATGGCTTCTTTTGCCCCAAAATTCATCTGTACTGTTAATGTCGTTGTAGTTCATGCATTTTCATGGCCTCATAATATTCCATTGTGTATACCACATTGTACTTATCCACTCTACTACCAAAGGGCATTTGGGTCCTTGCTGGTTTAAGGTGATTACGATCACTGTTGCTATTTCTTTTGGCAAACTTGTGTGTACACATTTTGTTGGGCATATTATATCCTAGGAGTAGAATTGCTGGGTCATAGTATAACACACTTATGTTCACCTTACATAATACAGCCAAATAGTTTCCCAAACTGCTTGTGACAATTTATATTCCCAGCAGTGGTGTAAGAGAGGCCACAGTATTTAACATCAACATGACTGTGATATCCACACCAGTCCATGTTGGGGTCCTTTTTATAGTATATTAGGACTTGCATCGAAAAGTATAGCTCGACAGTTACTGTTCCTGCTTTAAGGAGCTCTTTAGTCCAGGGCTGGATACCATGCTGTCACTGTGCTGTCTGCCAGCCTCGAAGAGGGCAGACTGGCCTTGTTTGTCTTACTTTCCACACTGTCATCTCCTGGGGCCTCATTAGCCAGGAGAGACAGGTTTTCCCCTGGGAGCTTTTTGCGCTGTACAGCTGATGAAAGGTGCTGTGCACCTATCTTTACGAGAGGTAGCTCTTGATCTTCCCAGGCTTCCCATCCGTGGGGACAGCCACCTCCAGAAAACATCTGAAGCCCCTGTATAACTGCTGTGGAGGCCCAGACCTCCCAGTTTCTGTGGGCTGGGGCTGCCTCGGGGACCCCCCACTCCACATCAGGCACTGTTGTTTGGACCAGAGACCCCCCCAAGCCCCTCTGGGTGCTGCAGTCACAAGGTGGACCCTTGTTATGTCCTTCCCCTAAGCGAGCCGTACCCCGTACCTGGTCTGTGCGCACCAGCCCTGCTGTTGCCTCTGCAGAGGTAACACAGCCCCGACACAGCCTACTCTGGATCCTTTGAGTAGGAGCTGCACCTCAGACCTCCCAAGAAGAGACTCCTTGCAAACACCCATCTCCTCTCCATTCCTGAGTTCCCCTCTGCGTTGCTGTTCTCCAGCCAAATCCCTTGGCTTCCTATTTCTAGTAGTTCCTGGATATCTCCTGGGGAGAGAAAATGCTCGCCTGTTGAAACGCTGGCTGATCGAGACTCGTAGGATTCATTATTCACACTGCCTTGGCACTGGGGGAAAGGCTGCATGCACCCTGATAGGCCGCCACTGGCCTGCTTAGTTCATTTCTAGAAAGGCTGATTCACTGCAAACATCTGGGTTTATAACAGAATAATAACTCCAAGGAGAAGCTCACCGAGTGATTAGCCAAGAGAGAAAGAGGGATCAAATTGCATCATTTTGTGCTTGTCAGATAGATCTGGCAGGTCTTGAACCCCGCACCCCCTTGCCTTTTGCATTCTTGTCAATTTGGCGGCAGCAGCCAGGGCTGGAAAAACAAAACAGTTGAAAGCCTGGCTTTGCCGAGAGCATCTGGGTCTCCATTGTACTCAGTCTAAAGGGATTTCTCCCCAGCACTTCAGCAAACGCTTCCTGCGCCTTCGCCTCTTTCTGAGGCCGTGACTGGCTCTGCCTGGCTCCTCTGCTCACAGCCTGGGTCACTTGGTCACTTGCTCGTCCTCCCTGCCCCAAGCACCACCACCCCAATGTCCTCAGCCTGCAGGCCCTGCCCTCCAGAAGCTGTGTTTCCAGAAGATTCCAGGACCTCCTACTTGGAAACAATACAGACCCTATTCTAGGGAAAAACCATTTGTTTGGTTTTTTCGTTGTTTTTTTTTTTTTTTGGTACTGGGGATTGAACTCGGGTCCTTAGCTTGTGAGGCAGGCAGTGGAACCACTGAGCTAAATCCCTGGCCCAACAGACCCTATTCTAGGTTTTTTGTGGGCTTTTTTTTTTGGGTACTGGGGATCAAACTCGGGACCTTGCGCTTTCAAGGCAGGCGCTGGAACCACTGAGCTAAATCCCCAGCCCAACAGACCCTATTCTAGATGGACGTTCTCCTTGTGGGGAGATGGGGTGAGGGGTAAGGAGGGGTCTTCTGACCCAGCTGAGTTGGTAAAGGTCTGGGACTTCAGCCAGGTTGTGGGGCCTTGTGTTAGTATTCTGCTTGACTTACAGAGAGCCAAGTATTCTTTTGTGTGTCTCTAATACTGCATCCCAGAGT